AGTTAAATATTTAATTTAATATAATAATTGTGAAATATAATTAATTAATTCATGAAAAATCTGATTTTTGCAATTCTAAATCTTGGGGCCTGATTTTTTATTTTGGGATAGATAAAGCCTGAGTTGTGAATTTTTCCCGACAAATTATACATTATTGACCTAATGGAGATTTCGGTGAAAGTTCAGTGACTGCAGATGAAATTAGCTCGTTATATGAACAACGATTTGTTTTGTAATATAAACTCTACAATGAGAAAAAGAAGTCAAAATATTGTCTGTGCAACTGTTTGGTTGTAATTAAAGGGTTCGTCTACCCAGTTGATGAAAATTTAATGTCTAGGACTTGTGTAAAACGACAGAAACAGTATAGATGGACCAATGTATAAACAACATTAACTGATCACTGAACAAATAGTGGTAATTGTTTGCCTTGGTACGTACTATGATTTCCTCTACTCAGGTTGTTGTTGGTTTCATTCCAGCATGTACTTAGCCCCTGTTCCTTCCTAGTAATGACAAAAAAACCCGTCTCACCCTGCCCCGGTGCCATTCGGGGCGAAAAAAATCCGTCCTGACTTTTTTTAAGCACGTATTCTCTAAAAAATTAGTATTCCTCTCATTATAACACGAAATAATGGAGCCTAGACAGGGGCTTAATCTTTTTGTCTGCCAAGAAAAAAAATGAACAGAAAATAAAGAGTAATGCTATTTAACATCAATAGTGTGTTTAGATGACAATTAGATGTCATTAAATGATATGTTCATTTAAAAGCAAAGTCAAAACATCCATTTAATTGCATCCATCAAGTGCGGCCACTTAAACTAGTGATCTAGTACCATTGATACTAGATAGCATGATTCTGATGAAAGCTTGTTGTGCATTGCGATATGCAACTTCTTAAGCCCATGCTTGAGCCCCATTTTAAGAATAGATTTTGTAAAAAGTGATTTTTTTTTCTGTAAAACGCATGATTAAAAAGTAATTTTGCGAAAAAATGAGTTTTAAAAACTCCGTGGCAAACGGAGCCTAATAAATTAGCATGTCATGATCACACTTCCAACTGCCCACCGAAAAAGTAAGAAATTATTTTGAAAATTTGGCTTTCATTTAAAGCTTTCATCAGAAATGGAGGTTGGAGTTTAATTGTGCGCCTCTTTATTCTTCATATCTTATTCTACCAGTTTTCATTAATGTGAAGTATTTTAAAAAAGCATAATGCATGACGGGGTTCGAAAGTCAAGATATAGTATAATAGTGTTAATTAAAGGGAAAATGATTAATTAATTTAATAAAATATAAATTATTATTTATATAATAGTACAATACGTTACAATCAAACTAAAAGTACAATACATTACAATCAAATCATTATCCAACGAAGAAAGTTCACAACAAAATCTTTGGAGAAGCCTTTTATAAATTAATGCGGATAAGTAACTTTGCTACGCCTTGCGCCTAGGCGCGTTATTTACAACACTGCTTGTAGGATCATGGCCATCTTGTCACTATCAATTTATCGTAAGAGGGGGATGTAGATTTTTCAAATGATAAATCTTTGTTTGCACCTTTTGTTGCTAAGAAATGTAAGGGGATATTACATGTTGCGTCATTGTTCACATGGCCATGCCGTGACTTTGTTGGGGCCGGCCCTGTGGAGAAGGCCAAATCCTGGTTCACAGTTTCCTCGTCACTTTCTCCGTGGATTTAGTTCCGCCTTGCACCGAGGCCATGCCTTTGTCGACCAAGTTTGCTTCTCGGATCCCCCATTTATGAACCGCTTGACTATTAGACATGAAGCGGAGGCGAGGACCCAATTGTAACTTATCTTGAGAAAGATTGCATATACATAATTCATGTATTCTTAAAGCCGTGCTGTTGATCATCAGCATCGAATTTCCGAACATTGGATTCGGTAAATGGTGTCGTGTGCTAGAAGTCTCTGAATTTTTTTATGTTGAAATCTGTCTTGAGTTGATATGGTGGTTTCTCTCAATAAAATTCTCCTTTCGTCAAAGAAAATTGGTTAAGCTTCTAGTGTTGATGACAATAAGAAGGTCATGCTGAGGACAACATGGCCTATTTAGTTTTCCAGCTTCGATCTCTTGGAGTAACTTAAAGCTTTCATGAAAATCGTCGCAAATACAATTCCAGCTAGCAATACTTCAATTCTCTGGCTGCGAAAAGTTTCTTA